AAAGAGTAGGGGATATGTGTTAGGAAGTTGACAAGAAATGGTTTGATGTTCAACATACTTTGAAGAAAGGGCAAAGAGGACTTGCTAATGGTTTGGATATAAGACATGAGGGCTTAAAAAAAAGAACTGAGGATGAGTCAGTCTGAACCCAGCCTAGGTAGATACAAATGCTGTTCTCTAATATAGGGAAGACTAGGAGGGAAGAGGTTTGAGGGAAGAGGCAAAAGCTTATTTTTCACTCTTAAGTTTGAGATGGCCATTAAAAATTTCTGTAGTGGTGTTGTAATGGTACTTGGGTACTAATGTACAGTTCAGGGGTGTAGGGCTAGTTTGGAAGTACTGGCCTATTTCTGAAATGTTTTTCCTATCCTTGGGGAACCACTATAGAATAAATGTTCAAAATACAATAAATTAATTTAAAAAATCTAAACATTTATCTTAAAGTTTTGATGTCTTTTTTTCTCAATATTTTTTCTATACATCATTAAAAGAAGGAGTTTTAGAAAATAAATGCATGGGACCGGCAGATGGTGTATGGTTACATTGCTGGACTCCCACATAGTAGATTTTAGTTCGAGTTCTGGATCTATGGCTGGGTACATGTACATGTGCACCCAAAATCTCAAGGGGAAATGGAGAAGGGGTTGCAGCATGGTCACACCCCCCACCCCCCGAGGTGATTTCTTGCTTTCTGTTTCTCTCTGGTAAGTGAACATGCCCTATAACAAAAATCTCTCTCTAAAAAATAAATAGCTAAACTTGTAACATACCATGTTTTAGAAGATTAAAGAGCATAAAAAGGAAAATGTAAGCATAAGGTTTCATATCTCAACTCCTGCTTAGGATTTATTAGAGAAAAAAGTCATGGTATGTAAATTTTCCTCCACTATAAATGGGGATTATATCTGACCTCTGATCTCAATGAATGTGACCCCACAGGGAGACTAGAGGATTTCACTGCACACTTAGTGACTAGCTTATTCTATCTTCTTCATTCTAAATATTAACGAAAGAGGTTTCTTTCTCTTTTGCTTATTTTTTTTCCCTTATATGCAGGTACTATTAATGTAATTTATCACTTAGATGCTACTGGTTAATTTTGGATTAGTTTGTATCAAGAAGAAATTTCATTATTCTTTTATACAGTTTAAATAATTAGAAGGCTTAATGTGGTCTAAACACATGCTGTCCTTGGCCAGTTGTGGTGGCACACTATAATATAACACTCTGCATTCCTGAAGCAATATAGGAAGGTTTTAGGTTCATGTCCCAAGGTCTCCCTGGTGCACACCAGGCATGTGTGTGCCTGTGATTCTGGCTGGCTGAGCCTGGGCTAAAATGTGGTATGAAGACTCTGTTGGCGGTACCAGTCTCTCTCTTGCTCTTTCTCCCTCTCCTGTAGAAAAACAAATAAACACATAAATTAAACAACAAAAAATGTGGGACCAGCAGTTAGTGTGGCTATGTCACTGAACTCCCATGTAGCTGACCGCCATTTGAGTCCTGGACCTGGTGGCTTAAACTCATGCCAGGACATGTGCATGCGTGCCCAAGATCTCAAGAGGAGAATGCAGAAGGGACTGTGGCATGGCCATCCACCCTGGGGGGTGATTTCTCGCTTTCTGTCTCTCTCTGTCTTTCTGGTAAGTGCACGTGCCCTATAGCAAAAACCTCTCCAGAAAAAAAAAAAGTTGTTCATTATGTTTTATCCTTCATATTATAATTAATAAATTTGTCTCGGATCTTTTTAAAATAATTTAATTTTATTTACCCCCCCCTTTTTAAATTTGCTACAGGCCATGTGTGCTCATGAAAGAGACCCAGTGAGAAAGTAAGCCACCAGGTCTGGAACTTGAACTGCTGTTGGCCATATGGCATCTGTTGCCTTAACCACTATACCACCTGTGGGCCCAAAATTTATCTTGAATTTTTAAAGAAACAAGTAAGATATAAGTTTTAGAACGAGAAGCCAGACATTGGTGCAGCAGTAAAATGCAACGCTTTGCAAGACTGATTCACACCAAAGGCTCCAGGTTTGCATCTGGAAACTTTTGAATGCTCGTATCTGAGTGCATGGAACATGTGTATCCATGATTGGGGGCTGGTTGAAACTTGGCGTGAGGGGGGTGAGGGAGGGAGACTGTGGTGTTAACATCTTTTTGAGGGTTCAGTCTTGGTTGCTCTCCCTTGCTCATGAAAGCAGCAAACGAATAAACTTTGAAAGAAAAACAAATTTAGAAACAGAATAAGCAGCTAAAGATAAAACTCATCAAAGAAGAAAATATGCCCTCATTTTTAAAATTAATTTTTTTGAGTTTTGTTATAAGGCATGTATACTTGCGAGAGAGAGAGAGAGAGAGAGAGAGAAATCACTCCCCTGGGGGGATGGCCATGTCCCAATCCCTTTCCCTCCATTCTCCTGTTGGGATTCTGGGCACACACATGTGCCCAATGTGGTTTTCAAGCCACCAGGTCTGGGACTTGGATCTTGCAGTTGGTCATGTGGGAACCAGCTGCCTCAACTTCCATGCCATCTGCTGGCCCTAGCCTAGTTTTCTTTTTTTTTTAATGATCACAGAAAAAATAATGCTATGTGGGGGCCAGCAGGTGGTGTAGTGATTTTTAATGCAGTTAAAGCACTGGATTCCCTCATGATTGACCACAGTACGAGTCCTGGACTTGGCAGCTTGAAGCTCACACCAGGCATATGTGCGTGCATGCCCAAAATCCCGAGAGGAGAATGGAGGAGAAGGGATTGCAGAGTGGCCATCCCCTGGTGGTGATTTCTGGCATTCTGTTTCTGTCTCTTTCTAGCTCTCAGGTGAGTGCATGCACCCTAGAGCAAAAATCTCTCTATCAAAAATAATAATAATAATGATAATGTTACATGTATTTAATACAATTTTTCAAAAAAGGATTCCCAACAATAGTGACCATCACATTCCTTCCAGGCCCCATACAAAGGCCTTTGGTTAACTGCATTCATACATGTCCTGGCTTCCCCTACTCCCTCAGTAAATCATGAGCCTCTTTTAAGGAATTTCTACTTTTTCCTATACTCAGCCAAAAGAAATCTATTAAGCATCCACTTTGTGCTGAGTACGAGAGCTGGGAATTACAAGCTGTGAGGACACAGTTCCTCGCCTCAGTGGAGCAGACTACCAAACAATTCAATGCACAACTGCAGACAGTGAAGGTGTGCCCCTGTCCTTCCTCACTCACAGTGGTTTTGGCACATAGGAAGGGCTGGAGCTTTGTTTCTAAAGCCCATCATGTTTCATCCTACCTTTAAGTCTTCAGATATGTTGTTCCCTCAGTCTGTAACTCCCTTCCACCCCGTAGTTTCATTTATTTTACTAATCTTTCAGAACTCAGTTCAAAACTCATTCTTGAGACATTCAGATGCTACAAATCTCCTAATGTGATAAATATGAAATACAACCCCTTCCAAAATATATTATTTTTTCTCAACTCTTAAAATTATTTATTATTGGGACCAGCAGATGGTGTAATGGTTATGTTGCTGAACTTCCACATAGTCAACCACAGTTTGAGTCCTGGACCCAGAAGCTTAAAACTCATGCTGGGCACGCAACTGAGAGGAAAATGGAGGAGAAGGGATAGGGGCGTGGCTATCCTCACTGGGGGCTTATTTCTCATTTTCTGTCTCTCTTGCAAGTGCACATGGACTATAGCAAAAATCTCTCTGAAAAAAAAAATTTTTTTTTTTGACATAGGCTTATTGTTCAGAATATCATATAATGATTATCTTTAGACAACTAGAAATTTAGGCATTGGGGAGACAGCGTTGTTATACAGACCTTTAAAAATTAGACCCTAAGGTACCAGCAGTTGGCAATAATGGCTATGTTGCTGGACTCCCATGTAGTTGACTGCGGTTTGAGTCCCAGACCCGGTGACTTAAACTCATGCTGGGAATGTATGTGTGCGTGCCCAAGATCCCGAGAGGAGAATGGAGGAGAAGGGACTGTGCTGTGGCCATCCCCCCTGGGGTGCTTTCTTGCCTTTTATCTCTCTCTGTCTTTCTGGTGAGCACATGTCAAAACCTCTAAAAAAAAAAAAAAACGAAACGAAAAGAAAGGAAAAAAAATTAGACCCTAAAATTGAATTTATTTCAACTAGATATGCAGACCTATAAGCACATGAAAAGTTGCTCAACATCACTAATTGTTTGGGAAATGTAAATCAAAGCTATACTGAGATAATACTTCACACACATTAGGATGCCTATTAGCAAAAAACAAATGTAAACCAACAGAAAGTAACAAGCTTTGGTGAGGAAGTGGAAAACATTGGAAACACTGTTCTTTCCTTGTTGGTAGGAATGTTAAAATGGTACAGCTTTTGTTGAAAACAGTATGGTAATTCCTCAAAAAAATTAACATAGAATTGCCATATGATCTAGAAATTTTACTTCTGGGTATATAACTAATACAACTGAGAACAGGGATTCAAACAGATATGCATGCCCCACTCACAGCAGTATCCTTCACAACAGCCACCCAAGGGTTTATCAACAGATGAACAGAGAAACAAAATGTAGTCTATACAATATGTACATACATAGAATTTTATTCAATGTTTAAAAAAAAAGAAAATTATGACACATGCTACAACATGGGTGAAGCCTAAAGGTATGTTAAGTGAAATAAGCCAGCCACCAAAGGCCAAATTATATGATTCCTGTTATTTGCTGGATCTAGAGCAGTCAAATTCACATTAAAATAAAGTAGAAAAGCAGTTGCCAGGACTTGAGGAGGAGAATAGAGTTTTTGTTTAATGGGGATGGGTTTCAGGTTTGCAAGATAAAGAGTTCTGGAGCTGAATGATGGTGATGGTTGCAAAACGATGTGAATGTACCTAATGCCACTGAACTGTTCATGCAAAAATGGCTCATATGGTTGGCCCAGCTATGGTGAGCAAGTGGTAGGACACTGCTGTGTGTGGCTGGGGACACAAGCAGTGGGGGGGGACCAGATTCAGATCCCAAGTCAACCTGAAAAGGCTGAGCATGGTGGCATGCACCAGTGGTACTAGCTAACTGGAAGTCCAAGGCAAGGGATTGCAGCCTAGTGAGATCTTGTCAAAAATACCTATATCTCTCTCCTGCCTCCTCTCTCTAAACAATTTAAGAAAATTACTAATATGAAAGATCTTACATATATCTTATGAGAATCAAAAAGAAAAAACTAGATGCAGATAGTCACCTAATTTGTAACGAAAGTGACATTATAGTACAATGGAAAAGGGATGGACTGTTCAGTACATGGTGCCGGGTAAACCTGATAACAATATGGGTGGGAAAAACTTTATCCCTACCTCACACCATGAACAATTCCAGATGGATTGCAAATTTTATAGAAGAAAACATACAACAGCAGGCAATCTTGAAGAGGGCAAAGATTTCTTATATAGGATACGAAAAGTTCTATCATAAAAAACATATTAAAAATCAGAATATAATAAAATGAAAACTTAAATTCATTGAAACATACTTAGAGAATAAAAAGGTAACCACAGCATTAGAGAATATATTGCAATATGCTTATGTGAAAAATAATTCATATATATTGGGAACCAGCAGTTAGCGTAATGGCTATGTTGCTGGACTCCCACGTAGTCGACCACGGTTCATGTCCCGGACCCGGTGGCTTAAAACTCACGCCGGGCGCGTGTGCGTGCGTGCCCAAGATCCCGAGAGGAGAATGGAGGAGAAGGGATTGCGGCGTGACCATCCCCCCTGGGGGGTGATTTCTCGCTTTCTGTCTCTATGTCTCTCTCTGTCTGTCTGGCGAGCGCACGTGCCCTATAGCGAAAAACCTCTCCAAAAAACAAAAATTCATATATAGACTATTTATAGAAATGTACAAATTAATAGGACAAAACAGACAACTCAATGGAAAAATGAGCAAAAAGAACATGATATACATCCAATGGTCAAAACACATATGAAAAAATAGTCAATTTGGGACTAGCAGTTAGCGTAATGGCTATGTCGTTGGACTTCTATGTAGTCGACTGCGGTTCGAGTCCCAGACCCAGTGGCTTAAAATCACGCTGGGCGCATGTGTGTATGTTCCCAATATCCCAAGAGGAGAAAGGAGGAGAAGGGATTGTGGCGTGGCCATCCTCCCTTGGGGGGTTTGAGTTCTCGCTTTCTGTCTCTCTCTCTTCTCTGGCAAGTGCATGTGCCCTATAGCAAAAATAGCAAAAACCCCTCCAAAAAAAAAAAAAAAAAGATAGTCGATTTCATTTGTTACCAGGGAAATGCAGATTAAAGTTACCATGAGATACTGCTACAAATCACCAGATTAAAAGGTAGAAAAAACTAGTATTAGTCGGGACCAGCAGTTAGTGTAATGGCTATGTCGCTGGACTCCCATGTAGTTGACCGCGGTTTGCATCCTGGCCCCGGTGGCTTAAAACTCACGCCAGGTGCATGTGTATGCGTGCCCAAGATCCCGAGAGGAGAATGGAGAAGGGATTGCGATGTGGCCATCCCCCTGGGGGGTGATTTCTTGCTTTCTGTCTCTATGTCCCTCTCTGTCTGTCTGGCGAGCACACGTGCCCTATAGCAAAAAACTCTTCCAAAAAAAAAAAGAAAGAAAAGAAAAAACTAGCATTAGTGAGAATATGGAACTGGAATTCTCATGGTGAGAACTTTGGTAAACTGGTAGTACTATGAAAGCTGGGAATGTCTACCAGAAAACATGTATTATAATGCCTATCTGTATTTTTTGCAACAGCCAAAAAATTGAAACTGCTCAAATGTCCATCAAGAGTAAAATGGAAAAATAATTGCAGAACATTCACCAGATGGATTACTATATAGCAATGGAAATAAGCAACCTATACTAACTCTTATCAGCATGGATGAATCTCCCAGAATAATGTGCATGACTCTCTCAAAATGATCTTGGCGCCATAATACATAACCACTTACAAAAGAGTTCATATTGTATTTTTCCATTTACATAAAGCATGCAAAACTTACATATCTAGAGAGTTGCTACCCTTTGGTTGCAGTGGGGATGATGAGGCAGGGTTGATGAGGATGATGATGACAGATGGCCCAAGGGGAGCTTTTATAGTGTGATACAGTTAGTTTGAGCACTATTGGTACTGACACATTTCTTAAAAGTCCAAAAGGAATAAGAGTAAGATAAAAAATGGTATGTGAGGGAAACAGCAGTTAGCGTAATGGCTATGTCGCTGGACTCCCACGTAGTTGACCGTGGTTCGCGTCCTGGACCTGGTGGCTTAAAACTCACGCCGGGTGTGTGTGTGTGCGTGCCCAAGATCCTGAGAGGAGAATGGAGGAGAAGGGATTGTGGCATGGCCATCCCCCCGGGCAGGTGCTTTCTCACTTTCTGTCTCTCTGCCTGTCTGTCTGGCGAGCGCACGCGCCCTGTAGCGAAAACCTCTCAAAAAAAAAAAAAAAAAAAAGGTATGTGAGCATTTTTTGGCAATTGTTTTGGGATCAGCCGTACAGAAGGTTATGAAGAGAATGAAGTTATAGCAAAGGAGTATTATATGTTTTAAATGATATACTATGTACGAAAAGTTTGATGAGAAAGTGAAGTCATTCCAAATATCTACCAAGGTACTTTATGTGCCATGCAGGTTCAGACAGAACTCCTTCAAGGTAAAAGGAGATATACACATGCCACATACATAAAGTAGAAAAGAAACCAACAGAAGAGACTAGACAAAGAAAGGAGTACCTGAAGTAAACGCTGGTAGAATGATGGAATCAAATCATAACAGAAGTATCTGTCTAGGAGATGGTGCTTGTTTATTTGCAAATCCTCCCTTGGTTTAAAATCAGGAAATAAGGTGAATTAGAAACAATATCCACATGATATTTCAACTAGAAACTTGGTTAACCACACTTTTCTTCAACCTTGGTTGAATGGAGCTTTTCTTGCTAAAATAAAAGTATGACTTAAAAACAGATATAACAAAAATGAAATCTGGAAGGAAATCTTTAGTGGAAACATGGCCTCTGGGTAGTCCAAAAAAGAAAATTAGATTAAGATGTGGGGCAGTTAGTCTTTTTGGTTTACTCTTCTCCAACCATAGTGTTATTCCCAGTCTACAAATTCGAACAAACATTGAGTGACAGGGTTACATGGTGGAGACTAAAACTATTTGATAAATACAAATTGCCTAGTACATATTGAGTAGTAGTGCAATGGTAAGGACAGATAAAAGAAGGTAAGTTGGGGGCTGGGAGGTGGCGTGACAGTTAAGGGCGCTGGACTTCCATATGGTCAACTGTAGTTCGAGTCCCCATTCTGGCGGTTTGCTTTCTCACTTTCTCTTTTGCACTCTCTCTCTCTCACATTCTATCCCTCTCTGGTTAGACTTAAATAAACAAAGTTAAATAAAATCATCCTTTAAAAATGTAGGTAAGTTAATCAAATACAAAGTATTAAGTATGTAAATTAAGGGACCAGCAGTTGGTATAATGGTTGTGTCGCTGGACTCCCATGTAGTAGACCCTGGTTCGAGTCCTGGACCGGGTGGCTTAAACTCACTCCAGGATGTGTAAGTGCATGCCCAAGATCCCGAGAGAATATTTCTTGCCGTCTTTCTGTCTCTCTGTCTCTCTCTGTCTTTCTGGCGAGCACACGCACCCTACAACAAAAACCTCTCCAAAAAAGAAAAAAGTATGTAAATTAATTAACTAAGAAAATAAAACCCCATGGTAAACAGAAAGGCGTTATTAGGCTTGGGAAAGTTTGAACAGATTTTGCGGTGACATTTAGGTTGAGCCTTGAAGAATGGGTAGAATTCGCCATGTATGTCCAGAAGTGCAACTAGCGTGCAACTAGGAACCGTGCAGAAACTTGGACTGATTTGAGCATCGGGCTGTGTTAAGTCGGTGACAGAATGAGAGGCTATGCAGGTAGGGCCGCGGTGGGAGCGCATAGGATCTTCCGCAAGGGTCTCGTAAGTGGAAGGCGATAAGGCACAGAGGTGAAGATCGGCTTCCTTCTAACTCAGGCTCCATCACTTACTAGCCTGCGATCTGGGCACCTCCAGGGCAGTTTCCCCTCTGTAACGCAGAAATACTAGTCTTTTCCTTAGACAGAGGCTAGGAAGATTAAATGACTGTGTATTGATCTGGTTCACATTGAGCGCTGAATGGGAATGTATCATCTTTATAATGATTACCAGACCACGGTTCGGTTTCTGAGGAGTCCCCCACTGTCTCCACGCCGCAGCTACCGCAGCTATAGCTTAGAGAGGAAAGTTAGTTGCCTAACTAACTGGCTGCGTCCACTCCTCAGTCCTCATAAGGCCGCAGATCTTTCCTCCGAGGGGCAGGCCGGGCCAGATAGCTCTGGCGGACAACAGGCACACCGCACGCCGCCGCTTACCCGGACTCGAGTCCCTCTCCTCGTCCTCCGCTGTCCCGCGGGCCTTGAAGCCGGGTGGCAGCGCCGGCCCAATCAGGTCCCTCGCCATCCGCGGTGGCTGACACTGGTCACGATTACAAGTCTAGGCACGCACATCAAATACACCCAAAAGACAGCCCGCCATCCGCCGCCAATGAGGGAGGTCTCACCGGCGCTCATAAATGACGTCTCCGCCTGTGGTTGGCTGAGCCGTGCAGTGGACGTAACGGAAATGACGCGTAAGGCTCGTTCCACAGACGCATGCTAAGCTCCGGACCTGGCGGTCGGCATGGCTGAGCCGGCTAGTGATTTCGTGAGTCCTAGGGGGTGGCTTCCAGCCCCCGAGCCGACCCCGTAGGTG